TGTTTGAAATTCTAAGGATGGAACTTAGTCTTTTTAGTCAAATCTATTTAGCTTGTGTTCAGCAATTCCCTTTCCCCTCTCATTCATCTAATCCCCAGGTATACCAGCTTTAGAAGGTGTTATTAGGAGTGCCCCAATCTAGTTAGCATTCCCTCCCTCAGTGCTGAGGTAGCAGCTCTACCCAGACATTTATAACTTCTGATACAGAATTCCATTGAGTCATCTTTCATAGCATTTTTGCTTTCTTGTGTATTTCTTTCATACTGAATGCATAGGGAAATTAGGCATTTTTGAAGAAAAATCTGTGCTGATAATGTCAATCAAATGTATGTATTCAAGGGAACACACAATGTTAACTTCCTTCAAGGAGCATTCTTTTTAATATCGTGCTGTCAGGGAACCTTAATGGCATCCCGGAACACAGCATGAAATGTGCTACAACTAAGGTAGCTGTTTGTGCGTTTATTTAATCAAATCCTAAATCAAGAAAAAAAAAAGTTCAACATTGCATAATACAGAGTCAGCATTCAACATATTTAAAGCATTGATGTAGTATAAACATTACACAATGGAAATGTTTAAGACATTTAAATCTGCTCATCAAAAGACAGACCTCCAAATGAGTGTAAGTGCCAAATCAATCAATCAATCAATCAATCAGTCAATCAATCAATCAATCAATCAATGGCTTTGCAGACAATGTATATCAACAGTGGGAACTGTGCCAAAGTTGTGCATTAAGAGCACAAACTAGGGTGGGCTTGACCATGGATAGCTGTTACTAGTATTCATGAAAGTTCAAGCTTAGCTTCAAAGAGACGATCTAGCATCTAAGATATAGATACAGTATGTTTATAGCAGCAATGGCTCAGAGCAATAATCAGTTGACCAGAACAATTCTTTTACCAGTTTTATTCTTTCAATTCTGATGTAGAGACTGTCCAAAATTTTCTGAGCCACTGGAGAAAACCCAAAATGTATTTCTAGAACAGTCATGGCTCCATGGGACCTATGAAATGAACAGAGATAACTAAGTGGGATGACCACTCTTAAAAGAATTAAGGAATTGACTCCATCTTCTTCAAACTACAGGTACTCCACAACTTATGACCAGAATTTCCATTGCTAAGCAAGGCATTTGTTAAGTGAGTCACCCCCAATTTTACGATCTTTTCTTTTTGCCATGGTTGTTAAGCAAATCACCGCATTTGTTAAGTGAATCACATGATTGTTAATCAAATCCAGCTTCCCCCATTGAATCTGCTTGTTGAAAGTCAATGGCAAACGATGATCAAATGTTTCCCTAGTTTCCCACACACGAGAAGGTGGCAGCATTGGAGCTTCCGGCCTAATATGGCTTCCAAGGCTGACACTTGGGACATTGCAATTGTTGTAAATACATACATGCTGGTTGCCAAGCACCCGACTTTGATCATGGGACCGTGGGAAGGCTGCGATGGTTGTAAGTGCAAAGACCAGTCATAAGTCATTTTTTCTCAGTGCCGTTTCAACTTGGAAGAGTCAACTAAACAAATGATTGTAAGTCGAGGACTACCTGCATTGCAATCAACAATACAGGTAGTCCTCGACTTACAACCGTTTGTGTGAGCTAGGACCACACCAGCTACTTCTCTGGAGACATTGTTTGACTCCATTCAGAATGTGTAAATAAGCCGGGATGAGCAAGGACTGAAAGAATACGTGGTAGACAAAGGAAGCACAGATAGAAGCGGCTGATTAAAGTCCAGAATCTTAAAATCCGATTCCCGTACAATCAGGCCCCTTGGTACATTGGATGCCTCAACAGATTTTGTACTAAAAGCTGCCTTCAAGCTGGCAATGGAGAGTGAGTGATTTTATCCTCTGAGAGCTTTGCAAGCTTATCTCAGCAGTCTCCAACTTAAGATTTACCGGAAGAGTTGATAACAAACCCTGAACTATTCAGCCCCTGCTGCCACAAATACAATAACCTGGGTTGGAAACTAAGATTGCTCATTAAGAACTGCATTGCTTGGTTTATGACAGAAAATGGCTTTCCACGGGCTAAATTCAATGGCTCTTCTGAGGTTCCGGGAGAAACATAATGCTAGTAGATGAGGCTTTGACAAGAAAAAAATATTCCAGACTTTCTTTCCTCTTTGCATCCCTTTTATTGGAAATCTGGATAGAGTCATTTGCAATTTTTCCCCGCCCCCCCCCCCTCTCCTGCTCTGCTCAGAAAGTCTCAACCTTTAAGATTCCACCTGCACATAATGGTGAGTATCATTTTCTTTAACATCTTCATGAAAAATGCTGAATTCTGGTCTGGCTATACATATATCTGAAGAAGTCTCTCACACCCTCCCATCCCCATTGCTATAGCCTTAAGCTCCAAAGGAAAATAACGGTAACCTCTGCAGGTTACTTGTTTGTTTCTTGATTCCCTCGGAATACATTTGAACTAGGTGATGTTCCTTTCCTTGAGGGGAGGGAGAGTTTTCCTCCTGCACAAAGGTTCTTTTGTGTTTGGATATCTGAAGAACTTCTAACCTACGACCCATCTTAATAATAGGTGCTCGTTCATAATAGGTGCTTGCTTCCTTATGCAAGCTCTTGCTTTGATTTGAGTGATACTGAATATTAGTCAGAAAGGCACCCCCTGCCATACTATTCAGGCAGTAATTATTAGTCTTCCTGCATAAAACGAAGGTGACAAAACAAGAGAGATGTATATTGTCGCCTGCATATCTTTCTTTCCGCCTTAGAGCAACAGCAACTGAATTTCCCATTGATTACCATGACAAAGGCTGATGCTTTTGGTGTCCTGCAGGTCTCTTTCTGATTGTAACAAGTTAGGAGCTGCAGTTCGTAGGGGTGGAGGGAAAACAAGCAGAATTTCCCCTTTTAATGAAACCTCTCTAAAGTGCTTGGATTCACAGTTGCCATTGGCTCCTGCAGTGCTCCCCCATGTCCACTAGGGGCTGCTGTTGAACTTCCAAAGAAAAAGGCCCGAGCAGCAATAATAATACTAATATTAATACTACTAATAACAATAATAAGAGGAACAATTGACAGATCAGATCATTCTGGCGTCAACAGAGCTTTTCTTCTAACCACCTCAGGCACAAATAATTGTTTCAGAAATCATGCCACAATTGGCTGAGTGTCATGCCCGAAGAGGAGTAATTCTGAAATATTACTGGCAGTGTCTTTTTTTGCTTAAAAATTATATCTGGGTGTTTGGATGTGTTGTATTGTCTCCATGGATAAAATGTATCTTTCCCAAACAAATGAATGCAGGATTTTAATTAATTTCAAAGTGCCTCCCATGACGTCTTTTTAAAAAGTCTAATATAATAATACCATGATTTAAACTTGCATGATAAAGCCGACAAGCTGTTTTGAAAGCTTAGCTGGTGTTCAGATTTATCTTTAATCTGTACCTTATTGTGTTTACAGGAGACAAATAACATCAGTCTTTTTTCTTTTTTTTTTCATTTTCCTTCCCCCCCCCCACTCCTCCCAAAGCTTTACCTCAGTGTGATTTAATCTGGGGATATATTAAGGATTGCCTTCTATTTTGTGGATTTTTGTGTCCTTGCTGGTGCAATGGGCATGAGGGTTTTTAATTTTAAATTCGGGCTTTCAAAATATCACAAGGAAAATTAAAATAATATTGAAAAAGGCTTGAATATGTAAGCGAAATGGCTATTAACCTGGTATAAAACGCAATGATGTTTGAAGCCTCAGTTTCTTTAAAGCCCAATAATTACTGTTTAGTAACTGCTATGCTATGGTGTTTTAAGAATCTGATTTCTGATTGGGCTAAGACTGAAACCAGCAAGGCAGACATTTCACATATTTAAATCAAATGATTATTGAAAAATTAATTTACAATTAAATGATTGTAAATCATTAAATTTACAATCAAATGATTATTGAAAAATTAATTTTTAATTAAAAATTAATTTAATTAATTTAAAATGCTCGATGGAGCATTTTATGCAGTAGAAGACAAAGCCATAATTATCATTTTTTTAAAAAAAATGCTCTTTCTAATATGGCGGTGTAAAATAAATTTTCTAATAATAAACAATTTGATTTCGGCTTCCACTAGCCATGTCCTTCTGCTTGAAGAATACATAGGAGTGGTTGAAAGAATTCCAATAGAACCTTCTACATCAGGTCTGTCAAACTGGCGGCCCATGGACCTGATACGTCATGCGCAGGCCACGCCTATTCTGGTTCCACAAAGGCAAAAAATGTCATGATATGTCACGATCCGGCCCGTGACGCAATCGAGTTTGACACCCGTGTTCTACATGAAGATTTAGAGCCATGTCAAAACATTTCCAGTCCTCTATGGTCAACAACTGGGTTGATGCACTTCAAGGCGGAATGGGACAACTCGCCACTGCTAACTTGCCAAGGTCAACTCGCCATGGCCAATTCGCCACAGCCAACTCACCACACGACAGCTTACTACCGCCAACTTGCCACAGGACAACGTTGTGGGACAATTCAACAATTCAATTTAATTATTTAAAATAGTTAAATTATTTTAATTTTTGTCATTCACATTTCATTTTTGTCTCTCCTTTGGCATTATTTCTTTCATGATTCTATTCCACTGTTTCTTCAATATTAGTGTAACTCCTGTCCCACAGCGAGTTTTCCCATGGCAAGTTGGCCATGGTGAATTGTCATAGACCCATGTCAAGAACAGCGGCGATATTATCTCATCCCTAACTTTAAGATTTGCTTCATCTCTTTCGAAGCTTCTGTGCTTCGGGATTCTTACAGGACCTTTTAGATCACGGGTGTCAAATTCACGGCATCACATTGCCATCACGTGACGTATCATGACTTTTTTCACTTTGTGAAGTTGCGGTGGGCATGGCCTGCGTGTGACAGATCAGGCCCATGGGCCACCAGCTTGACACCCGTTTTAGATGAATGTTGGCTGGACTTAATAGCAGTGACATTGACATGAATTCTATTTTTTACTTGTCTTTTGGCAGGGCAAGAGCCAGTTTAAATAGTCCTTGATTCATGACCACCATCACGACTGGAATTTCTGTTGCCAAGCAAAGCAGTTGTTAAGTAAGTCATGTCTGATCTTATTACCTCTTTTGCCATGGTCGTTAAGTGAATCACTGCAGTTGTCAACCGAATCACGTGGTCATTAAGCAAATCTGTCTTCCCCTGTTGACCTTGCTTGTTGGAAGCTGACTCAGAAGGTGGCAAATGGCAATCAGGTGACCTCAAGATACTGCAACCATCGTAAATAGTTGAGGCACCTGAATTTTGATCATATGACTGTGGGGATGCTATGATGGTTGTAAGTATGAGGACTGGTCATAAATCACTTTTTTCAGTGGCCCTTTTAATGGTTGCTAAATGAATGGTTCTAAGTTGAGGATTACCCATACGCAAAGCATGAGGTTATTTGAGGTTTTATTTGCTTTTTTCCCCTCCTTTTGTGTGAAGTAGGGAGGGAGATTTTGGATGCTCCAACAGATTGAACATGTTCTCAGTTCCCCAAGGTTGGGAAAACTTAAGAAAATAAGTAAATCCACTTCAAACCAGGGGTTAAATGCTCCCGGTTTGGACTGGATCATCCGATCCGGTAGCGATGGCGGCAGGTGGTTCGGAGAACCGGTAGCAAAAATCCCTGCGCGCTCCCCCCCATGCCAGCTGAGCCGCATGATCATCAGAGGCTGTTTTTTTTACTTTTAAAAACATTTTTTCTACAACCTCTTCAGCCGAAAAAATGCTTTTAAAGGTAAAAAAAAAGCCTCTGATGATTGCGCGGCTCAGCTGGGATCATCAGAGGCTTTTAAAAGCATTTTTTCTACAACCTCTTCGGGCGAAGATGCTGTAGAAAAAAAATGCCTTTAAAAGCCTCTGGTGATCCCAGCTGAGTTGCCTGATCGTCAGAGGCTTCTAAAAGCATTTTTTCTGCAACCTCTTCAGCCGAAGAGGTTATAGAAAAAATGTTTTTAAAAGTAAAAAGAAAAAATTGTTGGCCACGCTCACCCAGTCACATTACCCCCACCACCACCAAGCCACGCCCATAGAACCAGTAGTAACAAATTTTAGATTTCACCCCTGCTTCAAACTGCTTTGGAAAGTTTGGGGAATGGGAATAAAGCCATAACTATTTGAGTCTGTCACAATCAACAAACTGAGAACAATGAAATATGTCATCAAGTTATCTTTGAAAATAGCCATATTAGAAGTTTGTTTCAGTTTGCAGAAAGATGCTGATGTTATTTGGAATCATAAAACGCACAAAATTTTCCCATTATTCATTATGATTCCTTTTTGTTTGGTGGATCTGTAGCAAACTGGGAGTTTCATTCTGAAAATATGTAATTTTTTTTTTTGGAGAAAGAAGTCCTTATATTTTCTTTGTCATAATATTTGATTAACTGTTATACCAAGTACCATACAGAATGCCCCATCCATTCATGGATCAAATTATAATCTTAGTGTGAAGTAGAAAGTGACTGAAGTGCTGATTTTCTAGCTTGAAGTAATTCAGGAAGCAGACAGTCTTCCCTCAAAAGAAGAGTAGAAAACTATGCTCCTGGTGAGGGAAAATGTATAAGTCCCGCACTGTCTGTTTCAAAAGAAAGAAAGAAAGAAAGAAAGAAAGAAAGAAAGAAAGAAAGAAAGAAAGAAAGAAAGAAAGAAAGAAGTAGCTAAGTCCATTTCTCCTGTTGATTCTGTACATTAATCATGGAAGTTGGACATGAGCTTGCAACAGAATATAATCTGGTCTGTAGAACATCAATTTCCTTACAAGAGCATGTGTGTTTCCTGCTTTTAACATGTTAACAAGATATAGTCTACTTTCATTAGGATGCATCTTGATTGCAGCTCTGCAAATATAAACAGTTCTTCCATATAGAATGTTTGCTATTTCTTAACACATCAGTTTGGCAAATGTTTGATTTGCACTTGCATAGTCTTTGAGTTTGCTGAGGGCTGAACACTTGTCAGCCTGTGTGCATGCATGTATTTGTGTTTGTGTCTCTGGGTGTGCATGGGCCTGTGTCAATGAGTCACCCAAAATATCATGCCAACTCGAATACAACATGCAATATGTTCTGCTGTAAGACACATACCAACTTACACATTAGAATACATGTATCCTAGAAAAGTATTTTTCATATTTCATACAGCAACTTCAATCTTGTAATTTGGGTATTTAGCAAAGCCTCAAACTTGGAACTATATTTGGTTAGAAAAAAAGAAAGAAAGAAAGCTAAAGCCCCTCTTTTATCTCCATGCAATTTGTGATGGAGAGAAGGAATAAACACCAATTGGAATAGAAATGTTAGATCTTGATGAGAAAAATATGAACTATTTTAACAAGATACACAGAAAAAAGGAAGGTAGATTTCTCCCATCAGCTCTTATTAGGGCAAAACCATTATAGATTCATGATAGTTGAATGCCGACTACATATGTAATAAGGTTATAAAGCTGCGTGCTTCAAAAAGGTAGAAGTGATAAACCAGCCAAGCTGGGTTTTTAGTTTCACTTCTCAGCCCCTACCTATCTTGTAACTTTGCAATGAAAGATTTGGAAATTGGAACCAATTACCATAATATGTGGTGGTTTGGTAAGAACATGTTCAACATCAGACAGTTAAAAGGTTTTATTGCTATTAGGAACATGTTAATGTCCTTGATAATGTCTTCAGTTGCTTTGTAATGTCTCTTGTTGAGGTATAGAATTCTTTTATCTTACTACATTATGCAGGAACTTAAATTCAAAAGATATTTGCGGGAACATTTAGAGGAGTGCATCAATCAGTTTCAAAGAAGCGAAAATGTTCTTAGAATAGCTTATAAAAGGATAACTGTCAGGTTTTGGGGGAGCTGAACAAAGGAACCAAGGTAAAAGGCATTTTACTGTAAAAGCACAGCACGCAATTCAATAAATATTCCATATAAATATAAAGGAGAAGAAAGTTCATAATTATCCAATGACTTACATATAATTTACGTAATACTTTCAAAAACACTAAGCCAGAAGAGCATTTTTTTAGATTATACTGTTCTTTACCCTTGGAGAAATTGTCAGCAAATGATATCGCTCTAAGAATGACTTGAATAAAATCTATAGGATCTTTACCATTATGATTTTTTTTTTTTACATATGTAGTGTGGGGGGAAAACATCCTCAATAAATAATCTGAAGAAGATAAGAACAGTTGACCCCATTGTCACCCCAACTTGGCCTAGGTTTCTGTCTGCCTATCTGTCAGATGCAAGCAACCAAAGCCACCTATGAATAATAAAAGTCAATAACTTTAATGTCTACCACCTAAATTACAAGAATCTCCCCAGGTTGCTTGCCTTCTGCTGAGAATGACCAGATAAAGCTTCATGGATCTTGGGGCAGGTCAAGCATATGCCACTTTCGGCTGTGCAAGGATTCCAAGCTAGACCCTTCCTTAACTCCTCTTTCCAACCTAGCTGGCAACTTCCCAATACTACTGACTAGTTCTTATGATATCATTGGTTCTAGCACTCTTCCTTCCTTACTGCAAAGGAAAAAAGGAGTTAAGATTAGTACTATTGCTGTAATTATGGGCAAGAGAATCAGCAATGAAAGCTGGCATATGTGGACAGGATAGTCCTGGTGGCCCAACATTTGGTCCTTTTTTTAACCCTTCTCTATCAGCCATTGCTTCTTCCTTTTCTGACTCCTTCACGATTCATCACGTTGTTCCCCCCGCCCTCTGCCTCCCACTATTAAAATTCACGTTGTCTTTTGCTTTCCTGGTTATTAGCTTCTAATCATGGGATAGTATTTAATCCATGAAATGTGTAGATTTTCCCTAACCATTCGAGCTTAGATCAGATGTAATATTAAACACATCACTGCATTTAGGATACAGGATTTCACAGATCCAAATATAATCAGCAAATGGGAAAAGGGCACTAATAATTATCAGCATCCAGGTAAGGTGGGTGAAACAAAGCTCTTTCTCTCTTGCTATATTATGGAAGAGAAACTGAAATGGGTTTTGTTTTGGGTGCAGAGCAACTGTTTTATCTAAGCCAAGTCTGATTTCCTCCCCCCCCAAGTGCAGGACATTTCCAAATCTGGCTGAAGACTTATATTCATCTGCATGCATTCTTTTGATGCCTGTAATGATCAGGGGTTCCCCCCCACCTCAACTGATATTATTTGCATATTTCTGGGTGCTTCATCATTGGAGGTTTTAAGAAGAGACTGGACAGCCACTTGTCTGAAATGGTGTAGGGTTTCCTGCTTGAGCACAGGGTTGGACTAGAAGACCTCCAAAGTCTCTTTCAGCTCTATTCCTGATTCAATTGCATTTTTAAAAACATCAGTGTGTCATATCTGGCTTGGTTTTCTCAATGTAAATCTGTGATTGTGTGTGTGTGTGTGTGTGTGTATTTCATATTTCTAGACTGCCCATCTCAATCAGGAAGGGGCTCTGGGCAGTGCAAAGTGTAATATAGACAGTGATATAGTTTATCTATTTACTTCATTAGATTGCAACGTGACAACCTTTCTTGGAATAAGTCTTACTGAATATTGTGGGATTTGCCTTTGAGTAAATAGGTAGAATGGCACATTTCTGTATTTATAACCCACTTTTAGTGACCTAACTCTTACAAGGGAAATTCATTGAAAAGCAAGAGAAAACCAAAACATTGTAAACATTTTGTTTAAAAGCACACACACCAGTTAATTAAAAACAACTAAAATAGCAGCAACAGCAACAAAGATGCAATGAAGAATCAATAATAATAGTAATTGTTTTAAAGCAACAACATTAGCAGACCTCAATTAAATTTTGATGGTTTAGACTGTACAGGGCAAAAAAGTAAACAAAACCCAAATTAGCTAGTTAGCTTTATATAATGGCTGAAAAGTAATACAAGCTGTTAAAATATGAATAACAGTTTCAGGTGGTATAAAAGTCTATTCCTCAGAGTCTCATGTTCTGTCCCAGAGACAAATTTGTGGCAACATAAAATTATTCCCACACCATGTTTCTTCAGTCTTCTATTTTTGGTCTTGAGGCCAAATGGATGTTATAACACAGCCATTTTGCCTTCTCTTATCCCAGTCTGCCTGATCTAGAGATTTAAAAAATATGCATATTTTGGTTATCTTTGTTGGCCCAACGAAATACTGCTCTAAACGGAATTCAGAGACTTTTTCACAGCTCTCCAGCAGACATAAGACTTTGTGCCGATTCATAGTCTCAATCCATTAAGTAAATTTATCTAATTTCGTTTTTATCTAGTACAGCATCTAAAATGTCTTCCACTTCATTAGCATCAAAACTATCTAGCATCATTATATTTCTTGTGTTTAACTACTAGGAACATGTATTTCATCTGAGACAGAGAAGGCTTCCAATATAGGGAGCCTTATGTTTTAAAAAATGAAAGATGTTTGTTCTTTCCAGTTGTCTAAGAATCAGTTAGTGTGTCAATTTGATTTATCTCAGAACGCTAATCATAAAAGTGACTGACCCCATGTTTGAATCAATTAAAATGCAGAAATATACCTGTCTATATATACAATCTATTTTATACGTTAGGCAGGTATAATGCATTTTTACAAATATACACAATGCAAACTGCATTTTTCATAAAAATGGCTTTTAGGTACCCCTATTTTAATTGAGGAATCATAAAATTTGAAGATTAAAATAGGGGTACCTAAAAGCCATTTTTTATGAAAAATGCAGTTTGCATTGTGTATATTTGTAAAAATGCATTATACTTGCCTAAGATGCATATAATAGATTGTATATATAGACAGGTATATTTCTGCATTTTAATTGATTCAAACATGGGGTCAGTCACTCTGCAGTTCAGCGGTTGGAATCCTTAGTGCCGCGTAACGGGGTGAGCTCCCATTACTTGTCCCAGCTTCTGCCAATCTAGCAGTCTGAAAGCACATAAAAAATGCAAGTAGAAAAATAGGGACCATCTTTGGTGGGAAGGTAACAGCGTTCCGTGCGCCTTTGATGTTTAGTCATGCTAGCCACATGAGCACGGAGACGTCTTCAGACAGCACTGGCCCTTCGGCTTTGAAACAGAGATGAGCACCGCCCCCTAGAGTCAGGAATGACTAGCACATATGTGCAAGGGGAACCTTTACCTTTACTTTTAAAATTTGAAGAACGCAGATATTGAACGATAACTGTTTGTAGTGATCATATTAGATGGATAGTATAAAATGATATATGTTTGTATTAAAATATGAATCAAACTGATTTCCCCCACCCCCAATCCAAAAGCAGTCTCAGGGGAGAGTGTTGGATGTAACCTTCACAGTATCAGATAATATCTAATTTGAATATCTGAACCCCCTTCTCTCGTTCTATCTTAAAATTGCAAAATTAATTACTTCAGTATCAAGGCAGCGTTTCTCCCTCCCTTCCCCTTTTCTAACATTGAACCTGAAGAGAAGACAGAGAGATATCAGAATTTGTTTGAATTGGTCTAAGAAAGGTGTTGCTCTAAGATGGATATATATATATATATTTGTTCTTATTTCTTTTCCTTTTTTAATTAACTGGAAATAATAATGTGTTCTTAGCTTTCCGGTGGCAAATGAATATGTTAATAACATTTTACTTAATATTTCATATATTTTTTTGTCTTTTAGGAAGAATATGCCGGGGAAGAAATACAAGGCTCTCACTTTCCCATTTTATACAAGTTTATTCAGAAATAATTACTACTGACCTCAATGTAGCTGCTTCTCAAGCACATATAGATAGGATTGCAGCCATAGTAATTTTACTTAGATATCTTTATTTCTCAATGGTTCCTCTCTTAGCCTGCAGGCATACTCCAAACCTCTCTTGTCTTTAAACAGAATCAATTACCATACACCCATTGAGGCAAACTTGAAGTGATTTTCTTTTTTTAAAAAAATGTGGTAGGGGGAGTGAGTTTAATAAGTTATTGATACTCCCTCCATTTCAAGAAAGCAATAAATTTAGAGCCCGTAAGTTCATGAATTGTACACATCTGTACAGCTTCAGCAAATAAAGATTGTTACCATAGCAACGGCCACATCGTATGGAACATGCTTGTGAAATTCAGAGCTTCATATTAAGGGAATCCGTCTGCCTCCCCCACCGCACGGAACATGAAAATTTGTTTCTTGCGGCATCATTTTTCTGTGCTGTGTTTTTAGCGTTTGTGTGTATCTTTAATTATAGCTCTTGCTTGGGCTCCTTTGTTCTAAATTACACTCTTAGCATTTGAGTTTTGCATTGTGTAATTTTAAAATCAAAAGCATATAATCACACAGCTTTAATGATTATGGAAAAAATGCAGGCAACCCAGCAACAACCTTGTTCTCTTGTGAGCGGAGTCTGGCTGAGCATTCTCTGTGAAGAGCATCCCTTTCTTCTATTACTCATATGATTCAAAGCTTTCATTTCCAACTCCTTTCTGGTTCTCATGGCCTACTCTGTTCTCTCTGTCAAAATATAATGGGACTTCAGTGGGGAGAATCAGCCAATGTATTCTCCATAAATACACGTCCCTTAAGGAAACAGGTATCATCAAAAGAAGCAGTGAGAAATAATCACTGATCTTCGGTGTTTTAAAATTTCCACTGTAATATGGATTATTGGTTCTTACTGTTGATTTCTGTCTCTTGTTGCTTTTCTTTTGTAAAGTCCACATTGTGAAAAGCAGAGATGATTCAGCTAGGTAACAAGGCTTGGATCTGAATTTTTCTTAATCAATTAATCCCACTTTTGTGCATTCTGAGCATGTTAATTCCTGGCATTTCTTACCAGCTTGGCTAATGAGCATGGTGGCCAAGAATCCTGGATCTCTTAGACCAGGGGTCTGCAACTTTAACACTCAAAGAGCCATTTGGACCTGTTTCCCACAGAAAAGAAAACACCGGGAGCCACAAAATCCTTCCCTTGCCTGACTGTTTCTTGAGTGGCCACAAAACTAACATATGTAGTTGAATTAAACGTTCCGTTTTCTTCTGAAACTTTTCTTTTCTTGGATTTATCCATGGTTGGTCTACCGGGAGTTGAAAAGCTCAATAAATTGCATGCCGGTGGGTGTCACACATTGGCAGTTGTGACACATATTTTGAGTGACAGGGAGCCGCAGCAGAGAGGTGAAAGAGCCACATGTGGCTTCAGAGCTGCAGGTTGCTGCCCTCTGTCTAGTAGGAAACAACTTGGTCCTTTTTCACTCCTTTATGGATCTGAAAAGCTCTTGTAGAATTGGTGAGTGAGTAGATCAATAACAATAGAATATGTACTCTTATATATAGTCAGATGATTGCAGAACTTCATCCCCAGAGAAGTCTGACAAAGATAAGGCCTATCAAGCTTAAGCTTACATGCAAACCCAATTTGAACATTTTACTTGATATCGTTTAGACGTCTGACATCCTTAAAATGTATAGCAAAGTACACAAAACAAATTTTGGTAACAATATTACAAAAAAGATGTTGAGACTTTGGAAAAAGTGCAAAGAAGAGCAACTAAGACGGTTAAGGGCCTGGAGACAAAAACAGTGGTGGGTTCCTCCCGGTTCCGCCGAGCCGGTAGTAGTGACGATATGACATCACTGAACCGGTTCTGGCCCCACACCTCCCACCCCCCGAACCCCTCGCCCGCCCCCCCAGCCCCTGCGTTATTCTTACCTTTTATTTGGCCCCACCCCCAATCTATTGCTGCCTCCTGAATCCCAGCTGATGGCTAGAGAGAAAAAAACTGTTTAAACTCTTGCCGCAGGGCTTCAAAGGGCCGCCCTACAGCTGATCAGTGTTAAAAGAAAACAAATGAGTACACCAGTGCCTGCAAAAATACATGAGTAGATCAGTGCCTGCAAAAATACATGAGTAGATCAGTGTCTGCAAAAATAAATGGGTAGACCAGTGCCTGCAAAAATAAATGGGTAGATTGGTACAGCCTGGTAGACCAGTACCTCTGCTAAATCCTAAATAATTGTCACATGGCCATCAAGCCACACCCACAAAATAAGCCACGCCCACAGAACCGGTAGTAAAAACATTTAGAACCCACCCCTGGACAAAAACATACGAAGAACTGTTGCAAGAATTGGGTATGGCCAGTGTAGAGAAAATAAGGACTAGGGGTGACATGATAGCAGTATTCCAGTATTTTAGGGGCTGCCACAAAGAAGAGGGGGTCAATTTATTTTCCAAAGCATCAGAAGCACGACAAGATACAATGGATGGAAACTAACTAAGGAAAGAAGCAATCTGGAATTAAGGAGAAACTTCCTAACGGTGAGGACAATTAACCAGTGGAACAGCTTGCCTTCAGAAATTGTAGGTGCTTCATCATTGGAGGTTTTTAAGAAAAGACTGAACAGCCACTTATCTGAAATGGTATAGCTCTATCCTGATTGATTGATTGAGGTTACACAATTTATAAGTAAAATGTAATTACAAACCTCACAATAATTAAAATATAGATATTTCTCCAGCGTAAGTGCTATTTCCACCAGCTACTTTCAGAGGTGTTACTTCAGAGATTTTCTTCCTGTCGACCTCAATAAAATCCATATTGAACTTGTAACTTCAGACTGGTCTAACCATGTAATCAGATCTCTTCCCAAGGATGGTTACTTCTCTTCAGCTATTTTAATAAATTTAATGAATTTCTTCCTTGATAATTTGATTTTTCTGCTTGACTTATATAGCATTGAAGTACTTATTGAATCCTCTGTTCAACAGTTCTCTACCTTCTTCAGCAGATCTCCAACTATTTTCCTCTATGTTGCCTGTGTAATTCCCTCTCTCACCTTGTGTTTAAATATTATCGTGACAGCTGTGCTACGGTTCCTCATAGCTATAAACTCACCTGGTTCATTGAAAGAAGTCTTTAGGTACTACAGTCAGGTTGCTAAAGTGGAATTGCCAACTAACTAAAACAAAATACATGTTAAGCATAGACCCAACCTGTAACAAAATGTGATTTAACCAGCAAATAGGAGTCAATACCTTATATGCTAAGGAAAAATTAAGGAGAGAAGCAGGTGTTAGCTTGGGAATGAGGCCTTCTGAAAGGACAAGCAAAAATATAAACAGGTTAAATTTTTTGTTACTTCAAATACAGTTGCAGATATTTATATAAAAGTCCCAGACCATTTTATAAAAACACACACACTAAAACACACACACACATGCTAATCTTTGAAGTCTTTTTGAGATTTTTCTTACTTATTATTAGGAATGTTAGATCTCATATTGAGGCATCTACTGTAGGTCAGAGCCACAAGCAAATTGAATAGATGTCATGGAAATGGGCAGCAATTAACTTTTCCTGGGATTGACTGAGCCTTACATCTTCCTCTTATTTTGGCAAAACTTGTAATGAATTGGGAATCCTGCGGTTTTCATTGTGACATAATTTTTGTCTCACTGTAGGAGCATTATGTGTATATTGTGACAAAGGGAGAAGGCATGGCCCTGGATGAGCGAAGACCATTGCTAGAGAAAAATGTCTTTTAAAAACAGAATCAAAGCTAGGTTAATTTTGATTTTCAGCCATTACATAAAGCTTCTATGAATATAGTAAAAAAAAAGGGGGGGCTTTTGAATTGTGTTCATTTAAATTGTTGGAAACTATATTACACCATTTGGAGAATTGCAAACATGATAAATGAATATAAGAACAGCATATCCAGTAAATTTGAAACAGAATTTGCAAAAATCATTTTTTTTTGCACTCATTAATATCCTCCCTTTCAATCTATAGGCATTTCAGGTGTCCCAGAATAAAACGTATTCTCACTGATAATTCCTCACTTTAAGATTGGAATTAACTAGTGACGATTTGCATATTAAACGATGCTTTCTGAAGCTATAACTAAAATACCCTGTAATCTCAAAAGCAATATTAATAGTACATTTAGAAACTTGCAAGGCAGAAAAGTTTCAGTGTAGAAGCAAAGAAGTAGGAAGGGAAACCTGTCAAGAAGGAATGTCCCTTTAGGGGGGAAAAAACCCTATATAAATTAAATTTTATTAATAAATACAAATACATAAATAAAAATCCAAGGAAGAGAAAGAGACTTTAGCAGAGGTTGGAAGCCTAAGAAATATGAATGTCAGGCAAACCAAAGAAAGGCAAGCTAAAGGGACTATGATGAAGCGCTGTTACCGTATAAGAAGTGTTAGCAGGTAAAAGAGAAGCAACAGTTTTAGAAACTGAGGGAGCATAAGAAAAAGACTCAGAATAACTCACTTTAATTCTGTGTACTGTGAGAGGGAGCAGAGGGAAGTTTTGGCAGTGTTCGAGATTCTAATATAGCTTGCAATAATAGAGTTCCAATAGTCCCTGTGGGGCAGTGGTGGGCTTCAAATTTTATTACTACCGGTTCTGTGGGTGTGGCTTGCTGAGTGTGGCATGACTTGGTGGGTGTGGCTTGGTGGGCGTGGCAGGGGAAGGATACTGTAAAATCTCCATTCCCACCCCAATCCAGGGGAAGGTTCCTGCAAATCCCCATTTCCTCCCAATCAGCTGGGACTCGGGAGGCAGAGAATAGATGGGGGTGGGGCCAGTCAGAGGTGGTATTTACCGGTTCTCCGAACTACTCAAAATTTCTGCTACCATTTCTCCAGAACTGGTTAGAACTTGCAGAAACCCACCTTTGCTGTGGGGTCTGTTTCCTAATCTGGTCTATCTTGAAGGGCTAATAGCCATTGGGCTCAATTTTGTTCCACAAAGGCCAGAAAGACTACCCAGAAATAGCATCTCATAGGAATGGAGACAGTTGATTGGAAAGAGACTGCCCAGTGGAGAGGAGAGATCAAGCAGGGGATCAGTCCAGAATCCTTACATAGACACAAGAGGGAAAGGTCTGACACCCCCCCCCCCAATTCCTGAATACTGTTGAACCTAATCTAATGTTTCCTGGGCAAACTGAAAGTCTGACAAGATTGCTGTGAAATAGGCTTGAGCAATAAAGTAGCTAGTTTATACTCTACATGTGTGGGTCCACTTGTTTATGCCTGACAGGGTAAGGGTTAATGGAAAGAGCATAATTGGGTTGAGAGTCACAGGAAATCAATAATCGCTGGTGTACCTATCTTTGATGAAAAATATACTAGGTTGGAGTAAACTTTCT